CTTTGCATCCACTTCCTTCTTCCCCATGCCTTTTGCATCCCATTTTCCCCTTCCCCCATTCTCTGCCCTATGAAAGAATAAACCTGAGGCTGGTTCTAGTCACAGCTTCTCCATCAGAGAAGCTCTGCCCACCCGATCCTCGCTTTTCTATACTTGTGTGTCTGTGTGTTTGTTATTGTGTCTATTTCTGATCCACAGCCTTCCCCACTCGGAGAAACGTGTTTGTGCCAAGCTGGTCCCAGCAAAGTGGCGAGCGCATTTCTGCATGTGTCCACGGGCCACATGTTTTAATCACATGTTTTCAAATGAGCTACTCTCCACAGGAATGACTAATAGACCATGCCTATTCAGACGTGTCTACTTAGCAAATACTTTCTCAAAATAATACTAACATGAGCCCCTCACTTCAAGGAAAACAATGGAGAATGTTTGTAGTCACCGGTAAAATGCAAGTTTTCCGATGCAAAGTTGAATTTAGGCAAGTTTCTATCTCCCGGCATGACCCTGGCCGATAGCTAAGGTGGTTCTGATGGGATACATCATGATATTAACAGGTGGTTTACTCTTCCTGTCGCGTAATGTAACGTGTGAATGTTTAGTAGAGCTATGTAATGTGGCGAACCAAGATTTTCTTTTCATTTTTTTAAAGAATGATTTTATTTAATTCATCATTGTTGTTTATTTATTTATTTTTAGTTTGATCAGAGAGAGACACAGAAAGAGAGAGAGAGGGAAAGTGAGAAAGTCAGTGTCCGGGTCCTGGACTTGAACCACAGTCAGCCACGTGGGTGTCCAGCATCCCAACCATTACAGCACTTGCCGGCCCTGCAGTATTTTCCAAATGACCATTACCTGCTATATAAAATCACGTATGAGTAAAAGATCCAGCCAGAAGGTTCACTGGCTAGGCTATTTTACTATAGAAGCCTGAAAAATTCATTGGTGTAGTTTCAGATTTCATATGGCAATTAACCTTTAAGAAACGACCATTTGTCAAGATCTGGGAAAATATCAGAGAATAATATCCACCACATTCTGAAAAAGGCTCCTCTTTTTCCAGCTCTGTGTTTATGTGAGGCCATATTTTCTTCACATACCTGAACTAAAATAACTCCCTGTAACAGACTGAGTGCAGAGCATATATTGGAATCCAGATGTCCACTATTAAGTAAAGCATGGTGGAGATTCGCAAAAATGCTAAACAATAATTGAGTGGTAATTTATTTTCCTCCTTCTTCTTCTTTTAAAATTGCTACAGGGTGCATTCACTCACCAGAGACAGAGAGGGGAAGAGGGAACGTGAGCTATTATCCCCTAGGGGAGATAGCCATACCCCCCATTCCTTCTCCTCCACTCTCCTCTCAAGATTTGGGCACACATGCACATGCACCCAGTGTGATTTTTAAGCTGCCGGGTCCAGGACTCGAACCATGCTGTCAGTCATGTGGGATTCAGCTGCCTTAACCTCTGCACCTCCTACTGGCCCGAGAGATCATTTCTTAACATGATAAATTGTGTGCGTGTGTGCGCATTATATCTTCGTCTAAACAGTGGTATCTTATTTAATCGAGAAACCGTTGAGGCATTTTCTCTGTGGTCAGAAACAAGGCAAGAATGTCCACTAATTCTACTGCTGTCCAACGTGGTGAGTAGAGGCATTAGCCCATATAACTAAAGAGAAATGGGGGTAAAAGAATGTGTAAGAAGGACAGGAACCGTCTCCATTTTCAGGTAAAATGGTAGTACAACTGTGAATCAGTGGGAAAACGGATGATTCAGTGAAGTCGCACAATGCAAGGTTAGCATACAAAACTTGATAGGCGGGACCAGCAGTTAGCGTACTGGCTATGTCGCTTGATTCCCATGTAGTCGACCGTGGTTCGCGTCCCCGACCCGGTGGCTTAAAACTCACGCCGGGCGCGTGTGCGTGTGTGCCCAAGATCCCGAGAGGAGAATGGAGGAGAAGGGATTGCGGCGTGGCCATCCCCCCTGGGGGATGATTTCTCACTTTCTATCTCTCTGTCTCTCTCTGTCTGGCGAGTGCACACGCCCTATGGCAAAAACTTCTCTAAAAAAATAAAACTTGATAGGCTTCATATACATCCACAGTAAGCTGACGATATAATGATAGAGAAAACTCCTTATACCATCGCAACAAAGGAGATGAAATGCTCACGATTAAGAATATAAACTGCAGGTTTATAGTTGGAAAAACTGTAAACATTGCTGATAGACATGAAAGGAGGTTAAGCGAGTGGAAAAATACCATTAACTCTTGAGAAGGACAACTCAACATTATAAAGATGTCCGTTCTCCTGAAGGTAATTTACAGATGAAATGTGAGCCCAATAAAAGTACTAACACGTTGTTTTATGGAGTTGGAGTAGGTTGATATCAAGTTTATGTGGAAAAATAAGCCTTCAAGAAGAGACAAGAAAACAGTGAAAAACTTCAAGGAAGAAATAGTGCTGTCAGACATTAAAACATACGATAAAGCACCTGTACTTAAAATGGCATGGTATGCTTGCTTGAAGAGATAACTTAGTGGAATAAAGGCAGAAAGCTGAAATTAGGCCCAAATACACGAGGGAATTTGTTATAAAGATGGCATCTCGGGTCACTGCATTTTTAATAAATGTTGGTGGGGCAACTGGATAGACATGTCGAAAATGATGAAATTGAGTACTATCTTGAGTTGGCTCTATGACCTGGTGGTTAAAGCAGCCAGATCCCACCTGTCCCACCATGTTTCGAGTCTTGGCTCTGGCAGCTTGAAAAGCATGCCAGGTGCGTGTATGGGGCTGCCCCAAATCCTGACATGGAGGAGAAGGGATTGTGGTGTGATCCTGCCCCATTGGGGGGTACTCTCTCCCTCTCCCTCTGTCTCAGTCTCCGATGAATGCATGCACCCTTGGCAAAGAGAAAACAACTAGAGACATACCTCACCCTGCACAAGAATAACGCCAAATGGGATGGGACTCTAAATGGAAAAAAATGGAACTATAAACATGTCAGAGGAAAACAAGGGTGAGTTTCTTTTTAATCTTAGTGCAGGAATGGCCTTCTCACTGTGACTCAGATTTGAGGGGTCATAAAAGAGAAGACTGATAAATCTGACTACATAAAAATGCTTACATGTTTCAGTCATTGTGAGCAGAGTCAGAAGACAGGGCACCATCTGGGAGGAGATACTCACAAGTACTGCTAAGGCTTAGCATCCCTAATAACAGAAATCTAAAAAAACCCAGAGACAAAACCCCAAAGTCTCAGCAGAACATGGGGACGAGACATGAGTAGACAATGCACTCCACAGCAAGATACGCAAACCGACCCTCAAATGCAGGAGACAGTGTCCAAGTTCACTCCTCATTCGAGAAATGCAAATGAAGACAAACGTGCAGAAATCATTTCTCACCTGTCAGACTGACAGAAATGAGTGTGACAGCACAGCCATTGGCCAAGATTGTGGGGAAACAGCCACCCCCCCCACCCCCGATACTTCTATTGGGTTTGCAAATTGGTTCAACCCTTGTGGAGGGAAAGTTGGTAAGACAAAGCTGCAGAAGTGCTTAGTTTTAGACCCAGCAATCCCACTTCTGAGGACCTACCCCAAAGGTAACACCTCCACTGACAAGAAAAAGCATACGTTCACGTGTAGCATTGTTTGTGGTCGCAAAATACCATAAACACCGAAATGTTCCTATATCGGAGAGCAATCGAATATCCCTAATTCCTTCACTATCCCCGCAACAAAGCACTAGGCAGTTATGAGAGGACATGAGGAAGCCATCTATGAAAGAATATGAAGGGACCAGCAGTTAGCGTAATGGCTATGTCACTGAGCTCCCATGTAGCCGACTGTGGTTCAAGTCCTGGACCCGGTGGCTTAAACTCACACCGGGCGCATGTGCGTGTGTGCCCAAGAGCCCAAGAGGAGAATGGGGGAGAAGGGATTGTGGCGTGGCCATCCCCCTTGCGGGGTGATTTCTCACTTTCTGTCTCTCTGTCTCTGTCTTTGTGGTGAGCGTGCGTGCCCTATAGCGAAAGAAAAAAGAAGAAGGAAGGAAGAAAGAAAGAAAAAAAGAAAGAAAAAATATGAAGTGGCGTTCAGGACATCCCATTAAGTGAAATAAGCAAAGCCCAAAAGAGAATCTATCTATTTTTTTTTTTTAAGAGGCTTTTGCCTTAGTACATGTACTCACTGGAGAGAGTCAGAGACAGCAAGAGGGAAAGTGAGAAATCACCCCCTGGGGGTATGGCTATACTGCAGTCCCTTCTCCGTTCTCCTCCCTGGATCTCGGGCACGCACGCACATGACCCCTCTGTGATTTTCAAGCCGTCGGGTCCAGGACTCACGGTCGGCCATGTGGGTAAGGAGAGGAGAGGGGGCAGCAGGTTAAGGTGCTGGACTCCCACGTGGTCAGCTGTAATTTGAGCCCCAGACCCAGTGGCTTGGAACTCAAGCTGGGCGTGTGTGCGTTAGTGCCCACAATCCCAAGAGGAGAATGAAGGCGAAGGGATTGCAATGTGGCCATCCCCATGGGGGGTTGGGGGGGAGGCCAGTGGTGGGGTGGGATGGAGTGGATGGTGATTTCTCCCTTTCTGTCTCTCTGTCTCTTTGTGTATCTCCAGCAAGGACACATGCCCCATAGCAAAGCATCTCTCTCTAAAATTACAAAATAAATAAGAAAAGTTCCCTTCCTGATTGAATGCTGTGCCACATTTGCATATCTATAGATGAAAGAGTCCTCCTCCTCCACTTCCTCTGCACCCTCCACAGATGCAGTAATAACGGACCATAGAATTATCCACACAGATGGGGCTTAGAGGGGGCAGGAGCTGAGCCAGGGCCGGCGTACTCACCGGCAGCTTGCTAGCCCCGCGTGGCCGCCCCACGGTGGACCTGTGTTTTCAGCTTCATAAATACAACCCAGGGCATAGTCCCCGTTTTCCGATCACCTCGAGCGTGTTGGTGGTGACCCCGGCCTTTGTCATTTCAGGAATGACCATACCTGAGGAAGATGCTGAAGTGGGACAAGGCAGTAAATACTGCCTCGTGGCCATCGGGAGACTCCAGGTAAGAAAGCTCTCCGAGCGTCTATAATCTCGAGGGAGGGCTCGTCATGGCAGAGAGCCGGAGGCTGCAGGTTCGGATGCCTCTCTGACTCCCGTGGGTTCGGTCTCAGGTTCTGTGTCTCATGGTGTGGGACGAGACGAGGAAGGTCTGTGAGCTGGGAGCCAGCGGGGTTCTTGCCGCATCGAGGGGTTGTCTCTGTCCGTCCCCCCCACATTGGTGTCAGCTACTGCGAGCCCAGTTCTGCCCGCGCCACGTCCTTGCTTCACCCTGGAATGTTTCCGCAGGCCACGGGATACAGCTCACTCTTTATCACAGCCTTGCCTCCCTTCCTCCTGCCCACGTCCTCTTCCTAGGCCACTCCGCTCCTCTTCCATAAACCCACCATGCACTTCCCTACCTGTGTGTGTCCACACATGGTTTCCATCTATCTATCTATCTATCTAATTATTATTTACTTAATTTAACTTCATTTTATTTATTTATTTATTTTTTTGCCATAGCGCACATGCACTCACCAAAGAGAAACAGAGGCAAAGTGGGAAAGCAGACCTCCCCTCCTCCCTGGGGAGATGGCCACACCACAGTCGCTTCTCCTTTTGGGATCTCGGGCACACACGCACATGCACAGTGTGTTTTCCTACTTGCCCAGTCCAGTGCTCGAACTGTGCGGTTGGCCATGTGGGATTCAGCACCCTGACCACCATGCCACCTGCTGGCTGCACAAGTGCTTTTTCTTCCAGCCTCGAATTTCCTTCTCACTCTTTCAAAATTCTTCTCCTCCTGGGCGTTTCCTCTCTCCTCATCTTGGAAGACCCAGCTCAAGTGACCCCCGATCTCCTTTTCCAACATGGCTCATTTGCACGCTCTGCTCTGGGCCCTGAGTCCTCACCTCGGTGGTCTTTCCTCCACTGTCTGAGCACAGCTTCGCAGTGGAGCTCCGTGGCTGAGCACATGCACTCCCAGGGAGCTCGTCAGGAGCTGGGAATGTTTCTTTTTCATCTTGCAGAAAACAAGTACACTCAGAGTCTGGCACGCACAGCAGTCACTCCATCAGCTGGGATGTGCACTCTCACTGTTGGCATTGAGACGTCCCATAGTGATGAAGTAAGATGTGACAGCCATGGCTCCAAGGACGTTCATCTTTCACGTCCCTGCGTCTGACCATTTTTAGACAAATAAGCAGATTTATTCATACATGACAAACCATTGGTATTCTTTGTGAGTGGGTGAAGACAGGGATATTTGGGTAAATCAAGTTCACAATGCATACTTTGGACATGTTTTAACCAGTTCCTTGGGCTCACATGCCATCCTTAAGAAGGGGAAGAGGGACCAGTAGATAGCATAATGGTTAAGTCCCTGGACTCCTGTGGTCAACCATGGTTTGAGCCCCAAACCTGGTGGCTTCAAAACTCACACCAGGCACATGTGCGTCCATGCCCAAGATCCTGAGAGGACAATGGAGGAGAAGGGATTGCAGCGTGGCCGTCCTCCCTGGGGGGTGATTTCTTGCTTTCTGTCTTTCTGGTGAGTGCATGTACCCTATAGCAAAAATCTCTCTCAATAAATAAATAAATAACAAATAAATAAATAATAAAGGGAAGAGAAGAGATGAGGAGGAGACTGAATTTATTGAGCAGCAACTGTGTTTCAGGCCTTATGCTCAGATCCAACTTGAAATAGCTCTTTGGAAACTGTGACCCTTCGTGGTTCTGGGTTTTGTTATTCCCATTGGCTGATAAACGGAAGCTCAGTAGAGTAAAGAAAGCGATCCCCTGTTACCGGCAGAGGAGTGACCAGGGCTCTGGAACACGTCAGATTCCGTGTACTAACGACGTGGAAGGAGGTGGGACGTTAGAGCCACGTCAGTCACTCCCACGTCTTGTCTCGGTCAGCACCACCCACCTGTGGGTTTTCCCCGTTCCAGGTGACCAGCTCTCCCGTGTGCATGGACATGAACGGGATGTCGGTGCCCACGGAGTTCTTATCCCGCCATAACTCCGACGGAATCATCACGTTTGTGGATCCAAGATGCATCAGCGTGATCGGCTACCAGCCCCAGGTCAGCAGATGGTTCCCAGCGTATTGCAGTTGCCTGGAGAGCCGGCCTCCCTTAATGTGTGCTCAGGTCATCTGCTCGAGACCCGGCACGGTAGCCGCGTCAGGGAACGGCATGAAGATCCGCGCGCCCTGCCTGGGTGGAGCGGTGGCCTTCTGAAGCAAGAAGGGACTTTGTAAATGACTGCACCACTTAAAGCTTTGCCCTCCATCCTTGGCCCGAGCTGCCCTAGCTCTCCTGCTGGTGTCTCCAATCTCCAGTTAAAATGTCCTACTAAACGCTTCTCCGATCAGTTCATTTTATTTATGAAGTTTTTTTCAGAATGCCGGCTGAGTTTTGTCCGGCCTCTTATTTCTCAAATGTATCTGGAAATCTTTCTTACAGGAGGCACATTTTCAAGTCCTTGTTTTAGACCCTTTAAAAAAAAAAAATGTGCCATTGTCGCGAGAAACAGAAGGGCAGACGCAATTGTCCCGGATTTAAACCAAAAAGACAAAATGACAGCCCGCGATGCACTGTGACAGCCTTTTCTGTGTCGTGGGCCCGAAGATGTAGAGCTAGAAGGAGTTCTGAGAGACAGTCAGAACGCTAATATGTATGAATATTGGGCGATTTTGTTGAACGGTATTAATTTTCTTAGGCGTAGTTTGTGTACATTTATCACTTAACAATGGGGACACATTCTGCGAAGTGCAGCCTTGGGCGATGTCACTGTGGAAATGTCCCAGAGGTACTTCCGCAAAGCTAGGTGGTAAGGCCGACCCCACACCCAGACTACGGTGCAGCCCGTTGCTCCGTCATCATGTATGAAGGCCATCGCTGACCTCAGCACTGTGGTATGTCATGACTGTGTTGTGGTCCAGTCAGATAATGTCATTTTCATGAGGTTATGCCCAAACGCCTTGGGGGGAGGCGTCAGGATGCCTACAACTTTCCGATGGTTAGGCAAGAAGTTAAGTACGTGTGTGTATGAATGTGAGCGTGTGTGTATATGTGTACATGGAGGTGAAGAAAGATAAGGAAAATGCAAATATAGCAAAATATTAAACACTTGTCTAATGTGGGGACCAGCAGATGGCGTAATGGTTTTGTCACTGCACTTCCACGTGGTTGATCATGGTTGGAGGTCCAGACCTGGTGGCTTAAACTCATGCAGGGCGCATGTGCATGCATGCCCAAAATCCTGAGAGGAGAGTGGAGGAGAAGGGATTGCAGCGTGGCTATCCCCCCGGGGGGGGGTAGATTTTTCACTGTCTCTCTGTCTCTCCAGCGAGCACACACACCCTATAGCAAAAATCTCTCTAAAAAAAATAGAACAATTGTTGGATCTGCACCATCAGTGTCAGCTCACACTTAGGCGGTGTGTGACTTGGGTTTCCAGTCGATGACTTGGGAAATCCTTTACTGTTTAAGACACTTCCAACTAGACCACGTTGCCAGAATGATTTGAAGTTGCCGTTTGACAGTCCGTCCTACTCTGGTCTGTGTCCTTGCGAAACACACTTTTTTTTCGGGTTTGTAGCAGGTCCTTCAAGTAAAACAAAGACTGGTGAAGGTAGATCGTAAACAGGCTCTTAACAGGTTCAGTTGTTTTATGATAATCTCGTTTCTCCGGTCATAAGAGAACTAGTTTGCATGTTTAAACAATTCCAGTTTCCATAAGGCAACACATCTGATCTCGTGCTACCATTTTGCTTTCTTTTTACATTTATTAAAATAGAGTTTTTATGGGACCAGCAGATGGCGTAATGGTTCCTGAACTCCCATGTAGTTGATTGTGGTTTGAGTACCAGACCCAGCGGCTTAAAACACACAGGGCGTGTGTGCGTGTGTGCCCAAAATCCCTAGAGGAGAATGGAGAAGGGATTGTGATATGGCTGTCCCCCCCCACCCCCGAGGGGTGATTTCTCACTTTCTGTCTCTCCAACGAATGCTCACGCCCTATAATGAAAATCTCTTTAAAAAATATAATTAATAAATAAAATGGAGTTATTATAGTTTGCCTCCCCAAGGCAAGCAAAAATAAAACTGTATCCCGAAACTGCCAATCTAGTAGTTTAGCGAAATCAGAAATTGGTGTGGAGCATGCCAGAGGGCCTTAGCGTGGATGCCAGCGGACCAGCCCCGTGACGGCTCCCAGGGCCAATCTGCACCCACTTTTGTTTTTCTAAATCTGTGGTAGGACAGGGCAAAGGAGATCTAAATGAACACTGTGGTCTGAGACTGAGTGTATAAGTATTTTAAAATGGAACTTGGGCTTATTAAAGCTTGCCTTTTCTTCTTTAGGACCTTCTGGGAAAGGACATTTTGGAATTCTGCCACCCCGAGGATCAGAGCCACCTGCGAGAGAGCTTCCAGCAGGTACTGCCAATGCACGTTTATGGCCACACTCAGCCTGGCCTGGGGGCACGTGGCCGTGGCTGGCAGGACGTTAGTCCTACTGTGTGCTGGAGGCCACAGGACTACCTAAGGCATCAGGCAGAGCCCCTTCCAGGAAGGAGCTCATGGTCCAGAGAGAAGTAATTTCTGAGCAGTGGGAGAAGGACCCTAAAGGGTCATGAAAACTCGCATTGCAGACTCCAGAGGATGGAGAAGAAGAGGCAGGAACAATCTCCCAGGAGAGGGAAGAACTGCTCTTAAGGGATGAGCATTAGAAGACTAGGAGAACACTGTAGACCGAGGCAGCAGGAGCAGAGAAATAAGGACATATGGCCCATTGGGAGCGTCAGAAGCTGACCGTGTGACCGGAATAATGCTGACCGACTGAGAGGCCATGGTAAAAAGCGAGCCTGCAGGGGCCAGCAGGTGGCGTTGCAGATAAAGTGCTGGATACTCCCACATGGCTGACCATAGTTCGAGTCCTGGACCTGGTAGCTTGCTTTCTCATTTTTCCCTCTCTCTGTTTCTCCCTCTCTGGTCAAATTAAAATGAATGAATGAATAAATAAAATTAAAAAAAAAAAAAGAACCTCCAGAGGCCGAATGGCCAAGGGCCCCCTGTGCCACACTGAGGGATTTTAATTCTCTCCTCAGTCATTTAAAGGTGCTTAAGGACTCCTTTGAGGATTTTAAGCAGGACAATTCAAAAACAAACAAAAACTACTTCAGTAGCTCAGAGACACAGAAGAGCCAGATGTGAGAAACAGCTGGAAACAAAGACACAGCAGGACGTTTCTGCATTGTCCAGGGAAGAGGCTATGAGTCTGGGTTAGTGTCCCAGGGCCCCCCTGTGCATGCTGGGGACACATGTGTGCCCGTGATCTGAGCTGGCTGAGGGGGGGATCGTGACCTGAGACCCCTCACCCTATGATCTGGGCTGGCTGAGGCTGGGGGGGATCGTGGCCTGAGACCCCTCCCTGTTGGCGTGTCCCTATGAGTGTCTCTCTCCCTCTCTCATAGGAAAAAAATTAACTCTGCAAAAAATACTTGAAAAAGCAGTCTACATGGGTCAGAACCTGCAGTGGGTGGTTTTCATTTGGGGAAAATGGGGCAGATAGACATTGGAGGGGCCTGTCTACTCATGCCATATGTTTACTGAAATCTGTGGGGTCTCAATACACTTTGCATCACCTGGTGTGGTCAGGTGTGGTTTAGGTGGCCTCCTTTGGGTGTGGAAATGAAGCTCCAACAGTCACGGGGCCATTCAGTGCCCAGTGACTAGCCAGACCCTAGTTCACACGTGACCGTATGTAAGCCTCAGCCCCACGCCGCGTTGTTATCCCTACTGGTCTGGTTCCCTGACCAGGGCCAAGCGGAAGGCCAGGTCTGCCTCTCTCCAGAGTAACTCCTAACATCACAGCACACACACAGGCTTCTCCATCTGAGACTTCAAACTGCTGACAGTGTCAGGACCTGGCTGGTTTTGAAAAGAAAAAAGAAAGAATTGAACATCCGACCCCACCCCGGTATCCAGCTTAAGTAACTGTTAGGAGGGCAGCCTGAGGTGGGAGCAGCCCAAGGCAGTAACGCCCAGGAGCCAGCTGCCCCGGCCAGCCCCAGCCCCAGGGTTCCACGGGCAGCAGAGCAGCCACAGGGACATCCTGGAACACACCAGGCCTGGCCCGTGCTTGTGTTCTTTGGGCTCCGGCCACCGGCAGCTGAGGTGGACAAATGTTGATAAAGGGAAGTGGCTTTTTCTGGCAGAAGCACCGAGGGGGCTGTGTCAGCTAGGAGTCAGCCCGTGAACTCTGGATGTAGACAAAGGTACTTGACTAGCCCAGACGGGAGACCCTTAGAACGTGATCAAGTTTGTGAGGAGGTTGGTTTCTGTATGGCGAAGTGTGCCATTTTGGGGGCCAGAAACTGGTGTCTGCTCTTGACTTCCCTCACTGGGACATAGTTTACTGAGAAGTCAGATGGAAGAGCTGAACCTAGAAAAATCTAAAGACAGCTTCCTTTCTGTCCCTCGCCTTTGCCCAGACACCTTCGATGATGATGGTACTGGGGTGATGATGGTGGAGGTGGTGATGGTGATGGTGGAGGTGGCAGAGTTGATGGCTGAGGTGGTTGTGATCATGGTGGAGGTGATGATGGTTGTGGAGGTGCTAGTGGTGATGACAGTGGAGGTGATGGTGGTGGAAGTGATGGAGGAGGTGGTGATGACAGTGAAGATAGCGGAGGTGATAGTGGAGGTGGTGTGATAATGGTGGAGGTGATGGTGGAAGTGATGGTGATGATGGAGCAGGTGGTGATGATGGTGGAGGTGATGGTGGAAGTGATGGTGATGATGGTGGAGGTGATGATGGAGCAGGTGGTGATGATGGTGGAGATGAGGGAGGTGATAGTGGAGGTGGTGTGATAATGGAGGTGATGATGGTGGAAGTGATGGTGATGATGGAGAAGGTGGTGATGATGGTGGAGATGAGGGAGGTGATAGTGGAGGTGGTGTGATAATGGAGGTGATGATGGTGGAAGTGATGGTGATGATGGTAGCGATGGGAGTGGTGATGATGGAGGTGATGCTGGTGCTGATGAGGGTGGTGGTGATGATGGCGGAGGTGATGATTATTGTTGTTGAGGTGGTGATGATGGCGATGGTAGTTGTGGTGGTGGTAGTGGTAGATGTGATGCTGGAGGCCATCTGGGAAGGCTCTAGGCATGCCCATGACACTGGTGGAGGTGGTGGTGATGATCACAGTGGAGGTGACGATGGAGGTGGTGATAATGTTGGTGGAGGTGATGGCAATCATGATGCCGATGCTGGCTGCGGAGCTGAGGGATGACTGGGACTGTGGCATGAAGACCCCGTGAGGGTTCTCTCCACCCTCCACACCTGCAGGAAATAAATAAATAACTTTAAATATTGCTTCACCATGGGGCCAACAGGTAGTGTGGTGGTTAAGGCACTGGACTCACACATGCTTGACCATGGTTTGAGCCCCGGACCCAGCTGCTGGGTGTGTGTGCATACATACCCAAAAGCAGAATGGAGAAAGGATTTCAGCATGGCTTTCCCCACGGGGGGTGGGGGGGAGTGACTTCTCACTTTCCCTCTCTGTCTCTCTGTCTCCCTCAGAGACATGCACCCAATGGCATAAACAAGACAAAAAAAAATTAATTTTAAAAATCGCCTCACCATTGAAAAGTTAGTAGGAGATACATACAAATACATAATGCATGTAAATTTATCATTTCATCACATCTCCTCACAGGGAATATGTAATCCGTTTTACAATGTTAAGTGCAGCTTAGGAATGTTTCGTGTAAGGAACGAGGACATAAATCCATGGATACCATAGAGCTACGTGCTTAGATGAGATGGTTACCAAGCCAGAGCACCCTAGTGGCCAAGACAAAAAGGAAACACAGCTCTTGTAGTTTTCATGGTCTGGTTTGTATGGATAAAAGCTAGAGAAAATGCCTGGGGTAAGATGGGCCTGGACGGGAAAGTTTCTCACACGGTGACAGAATGTTCAAAATGCAGTCCCTGTTTTCATAGGAGGGGTTCCTTCCCATAGCTTCACTGCCCCCTCACTCCCTCCCTCTCCCCCTCTCCTACGTCTCCCAGCCACGACGTCCCACTCCGAGGTCTGCTGGCCTCCACAGTGACCCCCCTCCCCGCCCCTCTGGCACCAGCCGAGCTCCCGCCGACTTCCTCCTCCGATGTTTTCTCAGGTGGTCAAGCTGAAAGGCCAAGTGCTGTCCGTCATGTACCGGTTCCGCACCAAGAACCGGGAGTGGATGCTCATCCGCACCAGCAGCTTCACCTTCCAGAACCCCTACTCCGACGAGATCGAGTACATCATCTGCACCAACACCAATGTCAAGTACGTGCCCGCGTCCCCTCTGCCGGCCTCCGCCAGCCCTTCCTGGGCCCGAACCCGGCAGCGTACCTGGGGGCTCTTTCCTCCTGCAGGCCGTCCCTGCAGAGACTGAGGACAAGGGGAGGGGAGGCCGGGGTCCCATCACTGCCTCCTTCCCATGTTCCTCCTTTTGGTCCCCCGAGCCCAAAGCCCCCTGCGTCGCTGCCCCCCGTGCCCAGTGTCTGGTTCTGCCGAGGCCGGGATGCAGGAGGGGAGCCTAGGCCTCTCAGCAGCTCTCGGGCAGGAGGCCGGCAGCCGGCAGGGGGCTCTTGTGGACACGCGGTTTCTCTGTTGCTCAGTCGACTGAGCGTTTCTCCTGCCCAGGGCCTAGGGCCCCGTTTCCTGCCAGCTGTGCCCGTCCTGTATCCATGTGTGCTGGCGGGTAGACCTGGGCTCCCATCTTGTCCCCACCGCCTCCTGATGTGACCTCAAACATGTCACTTCATGTCTTAGATTTCACCTCCTCGTCTGCAAAATTGGAGGTGATGTCTCACTCTCAAGGTTGCAGTGAGGATTCAGTGAGGTCAGGCCCCTCACCGCGGCCAGACACGAGTTCAACTCCCAGCACAGTGAGCCTAGGCTGGGCCTCCTCTCTGCACTTAGTCTCAGGAAATGAGGGCCCAGAAACCAGCGGGAACAGTGGCATTTGCACAAGCGGGTGCCCACGTAGAGAGTGTGACAGGACTGCGGCGAGCCGCAGCGTGATGGAAGCCGATGTCGTGGGAACTGCCCTCACACCTTCCTGCCATGGTCAGTGGCACCTCCACCCTCCACTTTCCCAGGCTCAGCTCTCAGTGGGAAGTGGGGAATGTCTTCCCAGCCTGGCCACTTCCTCTTCCTCATCCGCTGACACCCCCTCTGTGGACTGAAGCCTCTGGGCAGTCACTGCCACCTCCGGGTGCCCTGGACACTGTCTGCCATTGCTGTCTCTGAACCCCTTAGATTGGGGAGTTCGCTCCAGGGCCCCATGGAGCAGCCTCCTCTGCGGGAAGCCCACCTTCCACGTCCTTAAGGCACAGAACTGGACAGATGCGGCAGAGCAGGACGCTTCGCGGGGCAGGTAGCCTGGGTTTCCTCTCAGCTCTGGAGGGGGCAGGTCGGCCCCGTGTTCTCAGCTGCTCACCTGTGAAATGGGAAGAGTCACAGCCCGCCCAGCAGAACGGCAGTCTTCACACAGCCCCTGCAGGGACAGAGTGGCAAGCCGGGCTCTCCGGGCCACGCCCCGCAGAGTCCACGCCGAGGGGGCTGTGGCGTGCAGCGGATGGCCCTGGCCTCTCAGAAGCAGGGGCGGCCCTGGGTCTCTGGCAGCGTGTGCTCCAGCCGCAGGGCAGTCTCAGGTCAGCTCTTACAGGTACCCTGGGCCATGCTGGGTCTGCTAAGCACACAGCTGTGTTCTTCATCTAACTCTGGGCGGTTCACCTTGCCTTCCGATGACTGGACCTCCTCATGAAGCCCCTCCTGCTCCCAAGAGCATCTGTCTCCTCTTTCCTCCCCTCCTGGTTCCTGGCAAGGGCGCAGCCTCCTCCTCCCAGGCCCGGTCCTCCCCTCTGTCTCCCAGCACACCTGCAGTCTCCCGTGGCCCTCGCTTCCTGTCCTGTCCTCTGCAGGCTCTGGCCCGAGGCCTTCAGACAGCAACAGCTCCTGGCCGTGAGGAACTCTGCCACTCTGCCCCCCTCCCCCCCCCAGAGCTCTGCCATGCCTCCTGTCCTTCCCAGCAGCCTCCAGTTGCCAGGGAAGAGCTTATTCTGTGCCCAGTCCCTGAAACCGGCTGCTGGGCCAGCTCCTCTGCTTGACATCCCCCTGGGCTCTCTCATTCTTCCACCTCCGTCTTCAGTCCACACTTCCCTGGTTTCCAGAACAGGAGCCAATAGAAGTCGTTCAAGAAAGAGGACATTAATTTCTTTCTTTATTTTTATGTCTGAGCTTATCTAGTTAAATGTGGTAAACTTGGCCAAATCGAAGATGCTTTCCCCAACCCGGGAAGGGGCTTCTTCACTCAGCAGAGAGGCGGCCCCTCGGGCTAGGCCTGTACCTGCCCTCGGCCTGGAAGGGCACAGAGAAGTTGGAGAACTGGGCGGACAGGGCTCGGGATCACGTGGCCTTTCCTTCGTTCCTCAGCTGGGTGTGGGGTGTGCGGCACCCATGGGCCCAACTTTCAGGAGCTCTGAGGACGGAGGGAACAGGGCATGCCGCGGTCCAGTGGAACCGGGTGTGGGCAGTGGCAGCCGGGGTGGAAGGAGGAAATGCCAGGCTGCCTGTGGCGGAGTCACGGGTATGGACAAGTACGCCACCGTGCGGGGCCACGGCACTGTTCTGGAACCTTCACCCTTCAGGTGCAGACAAATTGAATGGGTCTTAGTGAGCGCCGCCCAGTCCCCTTCTCTGCCATCTGTCCCATCTGCTCCTTTCTCCCTGTCCACACCTGTGGCCTTCGCCCAGTTTTCTTCACTGTTGTCCCTGGTGCCTGCACCCGCCCAGGGGCCCTGAGGCTGGCTGTCCCCTATAGATGAGGGTGTCTGTTACCTATGCTTCAGGGGTGTCCTGGTGACAGCCTACGCCTGCTCCCAAACCCGAGTCCCACTGTCATCGTAGGCGTTTCTTTCTACAGCTAGACTGCGCGGTCCTCGGCGAGGGCCCCGGCGGCACTGTGCAGCTCTGGGCTGGAAGACCAGACTGAGAAAAAGCTCCCCCCTTTATGGCTTTTGGGGTTTAAAACCTTTTCATCTTTCCTCACATATTTCCAACATACTTCTGGATAAGCAAGCTCTGTCCAAGTCGCGTGTTTTTGTCGTGACTGAATTCAGCGCGACCGATTTCCAGTGAGCTCCGTGAAAGGACAGAGGCCTGTCCTCGCTTTTGGGCCAGGGCGTCTCCACTGTAGTCTCGGGACATCAGGAGAGGCCGAGGAGCTCAGACTTGGGCTCCAGTGATGTGGAAAACACGAGAAGGGGAAGAGGGGGGTCAGGTGAAATAAGGTGGGGACACAGAAGGGGCAGGAACTCCACACTGCTCCTCAGTGCCTCAGAGAAGCATCCCCAGGAGGTGGCACCGTAGTGAGGCCTGGCAGGAAAGTAAGGATGCTCCTCTGCAAACCTCTGGGCCTCGGGAGCGTTGCCCAGGGACCGTTCTGTGCAGGGAGTGCTAAGCGCTTCCTCGGGACGGGTCTGGATGCTGACGGGCGGAGTTACAGAGTTAGAGGGAACCTCCTCTGGTGTCTGAGCCCCAAGGCCTTGAGTCGGTGAAGCTGGCTGGAGAGGTTTCTTGTGGACGGTAGAGGGCACTGGCAGCGTGGGTACCGGCAGGCCGGCCCTCCGGGTCTGTGAGGCTGAACTTGGCCAGCAGAGGCAGCCTTGCTCAGGGAAGGCTGAACTTGGCCAGCAGAGGCAGCCTTGCTCCGGGAAGCTCCTTCCCCTGCTCTGTGCTTGGGAGAAACATGCCAAGCTCAATTACAGTCCGGAGGGAGAAGCCGAGAGAGACTAGCTGGGAAATGGAGAGATTAGCCTTTAGCATTCGTGCCGAGCTGTGGGAAAGACCCCTTCATCGCCCCCGATGCTCCTTCTGTCACATCCGAACAGAGTGACGCAAACTCGTGCAGCGCGCTAGCTCCATGGCTTTGAAATGTGTCTGCAAGTCGATGCTCTGTTTCAGAGGCGAGTCGCGGGCCGTCTGAGTGCGAGTCAGCTTGGTGTCTGTGTGTCTGCCAGCCCACTGCTATACTTGGTCTCCTCGTTCCAGCTTCCTTTCACGGGCCCAGCCCGCTCTCCCCCGACTGCATCATCCGAGGGTCTCCAGGGGTTTTCTTGTTTGTTTGTTTTATGGATTGACTGACTGATTGATTGGAGAGATTTTTGCTATAGGGCGTGGGCGCTCACCAGAAAGAGAGAGAGAGAGAGACAGAAAGCGAGAAATCACCCCCCGGGTGCACATGTACCTGGTATGAGTTTAAGCCACGGGGTCCAGGATTCAAACTGCTGTCTGCTACATGGGCGTCCAGCAATGTAGCCATTACGCAATCTGCTGGTCCCTCCGTAGGTTTTCATAAGCTCGGCGGTTTGTCAGGCTGGGTGTGTGTGTGCGCGTGTGCGCTCTGAAAACCCCACCGTGTCCAGAATCATTCTCGAGTCCCTCAGAGCCGGTCGACCGTGGCCTGTACCTGGCGGTGCTTGCTGGTGTTCGGTGGTGGTTCCCTGGTTGTGGGAGGTGGAGGGCAGGCGTGGGTACCTGAGTGAAAGGAGAGCTGTATTCCTGGTCTCCACAGAGCTTAGAACCAGTAAGGGGCTGACACCCGTCCCCAAGCCCAGCCTGGGAGTTGTCCTGGGCCCCTCCCTCTCATCCACCTGCTAGAGACCACCAAGCACAGACCCAGAGCCCTGCAGGGTCTCTAGGATTCTCTCTAGCACTCTCTTCCTCTGCCTCTTCTGCCATGTCATGGTCAAGGCCTTGGCCATCCCGTGGTGGCCACAGGTGATCGTAGCTTCCTAGCACCTCCGTCAGCCCCCTGTTGAGCCCCCACACGTGGCCTAGGCAGTGACCCCTCTAAAACACACATGGGACCACCCCGCTCCCTGTGCCAAGCCACAGCCCCGAACAGAGATGCAGGGCCTTCATCACAGGCTCGCCGACAGCGCTCAGGCCCTGCCGGGTATTCTTAGCCTCCCTCTGGACAGCTGACTGGCCAAGCCCAGCTGTCTCCCAGCCGGATGCAGGTCGCTCCCTAGGGTGCAATCACACACCACCTCTGAACACCCTCCAAATGGCTTCTCATTCCCTTACTCAGGCTCAGTAAAAGGGAGCGTCAGGGATGATCGACAGCATCCGCCCAGCCTCCCACCCCTTCCTGGCCGGAAGCCTGGTCATCGGCCGCCGCCCCCAGCTAATGCAGGGCAGCACTTTGCTGCGGTAAGAGCCCACTTCCCTCGCGTGTGCCGGGGGTCAGTTTTCTGCAGAGCTGTGTGCTTTCTCCCTCTTTAGAATCTGCAAGCACACCGAGGTTTATTTTTATACCACGGCCTTGAGATGTCTGGGAAACCTCTCCAGTCCTCTTCTCAGGATGGGGTGGTCTGCGGGTCAGCAGTTCTTCAGGCTACTCGTGCTCAGCCGGGGACGCTAAGACCCTCACGGCTGTGGGACGGACAGGCTGGTGTCCGGACCACAGAGTGAGTGAGGGTGGGGCTCTGGGGACCTGCCAGCCACACAGAGGACTTATGTCTGCTTCCCAGTGAGAAGGCCTTCCTCTGGTCTAGGACCCTAGACAGGAACGGGACTGGGAGCAAACCCCAGCCTGACGGCAGGGGCCCTTCCCCTGGGTGCACATCCAAAGCACAGGCCCTTCCTCCCTGCAGCACAGACCTGCGCTGGAATCCACAGCCACGTCAGTGGAGAGGGCTGGGTTGGTGCCCTGCTCACCCCACACCCATTGCACGACCCACGTAGCGGTCTGCCTGTTCTCCCAGAGTCTGGGCATGGCCTGGACACGGCTGAGCCACAGCCAGAGCTGGCTGTTATTTCTTGGGAAAAAGCTTGTAGCTTGAAGATTGGGGTCCAGGACAGGGGCAGAGAGGATGGTCCAGTGGAGAGCTTGGCCTCCTGCCGGGAAGAGGGGTGCAGGGGGTGCCCCATCACTAAAGCCAGGCTCCTGGCGGGTCTCTCCAGGGTGGCTTGCAGAGTCCTCTCACCCTCGCTCTCGCACCCTTTCAGCCCCAGGGAGGGGTTCCAGCAGCTTCCCGCTGGTGCCAGTCCGGAAGTCTTTGCCACCCAGATTGGCTTCCCAGCAGCCTCTACTTGCTAAGTGCCTTTCACCACCCTTCTTTTCTTTCTTGTTTATTTTTATTTTTTTGTAGAGGTTTTTTTCCTATAGGGTATGTGCACTCACCAGAAAGACAGTAAGAGACAGAGAGACAGAAAGCGAGAAATCACCCCCTGGGGGGATGGCCACGCCACAATCCCTTCTCCTCCATTCTCCTCTCGGGATCTTGGGCACGCACGCACATGCGCCTGGTGTGAGTTTAAGCCGCCAGGTCCGGGACTTGAACCATGGTCGACTACATGGGAGTCCAGCGACATAGCCATGACGCCAACTGCTGGTCCCAGTACCCTCCTGTATGTAAGTTGCGAAGGCACTGCCCTTGTATAGCCACCTTTGCACAGACAGCTCTTCCTTGGTCCCTTAGTATGTCCCCACGGGTAGGAAGATGCCTCAGGAGAGTGCAAGCATGTCCCACTACGGACCGCCCTACTGCTTTCCAGGAGGTGGTATCCAGGGCTGGCCCCGTAGCCTAGCAGTTAAGGGAGCCGGATCCCATGGCCAACGTCAAGGTTCGAATCTCAACCCCAACCATTTAAAAAACACACTTGGTGCTGGGACCAGCAGTTGGCGTAATGGCTATGTCACTGGACTCCCAAGTAGTCACCTGCAGTTCGAGTCCCAGACCTGGTGGCTTAAACTCACGCCGGACGTATGTGTGTGTGTGCCCAAGATCCCAAGAGGAGGATGGGGGAAAAGGGATTGCAGTGTGGCCATCCCTCTGGGAGGTGATTTCTCATTTTCTGTCTCTCTGTCTCTCTTTCTGTCTTTCTGGTGAGCGTACATGCCCTGTAGCAAAATTCAAAACAAAACTCTCCAAACATGCTGGGTGCATGCATGTGGGTGCCCAGAATCCCATAGAATGGAGAAGGGATACAGCATGACCACACCCCACTGGGGAGTGCTTTCTCCATCTCTGTGTCTCTCTATCTCTCTATGACGAGTACACGGAAGTACATACCAGTATGGCAATTTAAAAAAAATAAAAGTTATAATCGTACACGCTTCCAGGGTGTGACCATAGTAGTCTCAACCTAAAACCATCCCATGAAACATGCTTTTGTTTGTTTGTGTTTAACCGCCTTAGTCGGTAAAACACTGTATTTCAAAGGTTGTCTTGATTTTTATTATTTAATGGTAAGAATATCTCCTATCTTGCTTATTATGAAAGTTAATCAGGAGAATCTGTAATCTTTCCAGTGAACGCAGACACGCGAGGTATGTATACAGCTCTTTCGTACCTAGTATCATGTATTACTTGTATGTTACTTCACATGTTTATCCACTTACTTATTTTTGCTTGAATTATCTGTTCATGGCCTTTAAATTGCTCCATGGATAAGGGGAGGGAGGATAATGTGGGCTAGTAATTCGGATTGCAGTCTGCAGCTTGTCAGGGTTTGCCTGTCATTCTTACTTGTGTTAGAATCAAAGAGGAACCTGTTCTTCTGTCCCCATTGTCACAGGGCTCAGCGTCCCATGAAAGCAACAGCGTTGTGTCCATGTTTTAAAGTGGAAAGCTGCCGTTCCTTCTCACAAAGCTTCTCCTTTCTAAAATAGAGCAAGTGGGATCAAAATGGCTGGGCCAAATCCTGGCTCTGTCCTTTCATAGCCACTCCTAGTCAGTGGGTGACGTGGAGAGCCACCTAAGCTCTCCAGACTTCAATGTCTTAATATTGGGGTTAAGTGAACCACTACAAAAGTCTGCTGTGAGGATTAAGTGAGATAATACACACTCCTAGTAGTTTATTTTGTCGTAAAAAGACTTTTTTTTCTTCCAGCGTGGTATCTTTTCACCCTACACAAAATAAAGTCACAGGGCCGGCCCCATGGCCTAGTGGTTAAGGAAGCTGGATCCCATGTCACCAACCATGTGTGTGTCCCAAATCCCAATAGGATGGAGAAATGGAAGAGAAGGAATTGCAGTGTGACCATGCCCCACTGAGGGGGTACATTTTCTCTCTCCCTCTCTCTCTCTAGCCAAGTGCATGTGTCTTTTGGCAATAAAAAAGTCAGAGTCGGGAACCAAACAGTTAGCGTAATGGCTATGTCGCTGGACTCCCACGTAGTCGACTGCAGTTCGCGTCCCGGACCCGGTGGCTTAAACTCACGCCGGGCACGTGTGCGTGCGTGCCCAAGATCCTGAGAGGAGAGTGGAGGAGAAGGGATTGTGGTGTGGCCATCCCTCCAGGGGGTGATTTCTCGCTTTCTGTCTCTCTGTCTGTCTCTGTCTGTCTGGCGAGTGCACGCGCCCTATAGCGAAAAACCTCTCAAAAAAAAAAAAAAAAGTCAGAGTCAAAATGTATTTCTTGGGACCAGCAGTTAGCGTAATGGCTATTGCTGTACTCACATGTAGCCCACTGCGGTGTGTGCGTGCCCAAGATCCCGAGAGGAGAATGGAGGAGAAGGGATTGTGGTGTGGCCATCCCTCCAGGGGGTGATTTCTCGCTTTCTGTCTCTCTGTCTGTCTCTGTCTGTCTGGCGAGTGCACGCGCCCTATAGCGAAAAACCTCTCAAAAAAAAAAAATGTATTTCTTAAATTGTTCCGTGTGGTAGCCTAAGGTAGAAATGCAGGGCTTAGAGTCTTAATTTGGGGCATTAAAAATGAAATAATTAAACATCAAAAGCCACTTAGGGACTAGCAGATGGCATAATGGTTATATCGCTTTATTCCCATGAAGTCAACCGCAGTTCGAGTCCCAGATCTGATCGGTGACTTGAAACTCACACCAGGTGCACATGCGTGTGTGCCCAAAATCCCTAGAGGAGAGTGGGAGAGAAGAGATTGTGGTGTGGCCATCCCCCCAGGGGGTGATTTCTCACTAGGTCCAGTAGATGGCGTCATGGTTATGTCACTGAACTCCCTCGTGGCTAGTCGTGGTTTGAGTCCTGGACCTGGCAACTTGAAACTCACGCCGGGCACATGTGTGTGCATGCCCAAAATCTCAAGAGGAGATTGGAAGAAAAGGGATTGCAGTGTGGCCATCCCCCCGAGGTGGGGGTGATTTCTCGCTTTGTCTCTCTTTTGTCTCTGGTGAGCACATGCTCCCTAGAGCAAAAGTCTCTCTTTTTAAAAAAAAAAAGAAAGAAAAGAGAAAGTACAGAGGTTGTAGAGGGTGTAGGTCCCCGGGCCTCTGGGGGATGGAGAAGATTCTGGCGTGGTCCGTTGTCCTCTTCTGCGTCCACGACTCTCTCTGTTGTCTTCCTCCACAGGCAGCTTCAGCAGCAGCAGGCCGAACTGGAAGTGCACCAGAGAGATGGATTGTCGTCGTATGATTTATCTCAGGTGATTTCCGGAAAATTCTTTCCCAACTGGGATGGTCTCCAACCCAGCGAAATGGGGACGGAACTCGGCCCTTAGCTTATGAGCCCCTCAGTCACAAGAGTGCCGTTGCCCACGTACCCAGGGCATCGCAGAGAGCATTTTGGTCCTCTGGAAGTCCGCTGTGACTCTTCTTGCAGAACTGAGCCAAGATGAGTATGATGGGGGTCTTCAAAAACTTCATGGAAAATGCATATTATGGAAAAAAAAATTCTGCATAGATTTCCATGTGTGTATGTGTACGCATGCACCACAATAAACTTGTACTGTAATTCCTTTTTCCACGAATGTTTCGAATCCCCCTCGTACAAAGCATGTGAAGACCAGGTGAAGAACTGTGAGCTATTGTCAGCCGGTGTTGCAAATTTCAGAGGGCTACCGGGCACTTCAGAAGGCCGGGCTTGAACCCTGGGACTGACACACCCAGAGCCAACAGCAGCAGGTCAGGACCTCTTGGTCCCCTGGCTTCCTGGCCATGTCTCCTGCCCCTGCTGTGTCCCTCTTTTCCTCGGTGTGTCCCTTCCTACTGTGCTCTGCGTATCCCACATTACCTGTCCTGCCTCCCTTCTCCCAGCTCCTTAGCCTCTCACTCCTCCCCTTCTCTGTGTTCTCACGGCTGGCCTCACAGAGACCCCACAGCATGGCGGGTTTCCTCAGTTAAATGTCATGCTCACTGTCCCTGATATGTAGGGTAGGTGGGCTGTTTTTCATGTGTCTTTAAGAAAGCAGTCAGTGTGACTTGGCAGCCTCTGGTTCACACCCCTTCCCTGGCCGTTGCTGACTTTCACGCATAGCGAGACTCCCCATCCCAGAAAACACCCCAACCCACAATGCTGGTGATTCCAGAGGGAGGGGGACCTGGTGACAGAACTGGAGCCTTCCGGAGAGATGTGTTCTGGGCCTCACACGTGGGTCCCTCTTGTGTCTTCATGTGCGTTCAGGTCCCGGTCCCCAACCTACCAGCCGGTGTCCACGAGGCCGGGAAGTCTGTGGAGAAAGCAGATGCAATCTTCTCCCAGGAGCGAGACCCCCGGTTTGCAGAGATGTTTGCAGGCATCAGTGCATGTAAGTGTCCAGCTGGCACTGGGGTGGTGAGGACATGGGGCTCACGGTCACGTTCAGGCCATCTCAAGAGATAACCTCAGAGAGGGGCCAAGGAGAGGAGGTTGGAGTAACTATTGCCCGGTAGATAAACAGCCTAAATACTGCAGCCAGATGGATTCTCTCTCCTGCTGGCCTTGCCTGGTACTTGCTGGTCACCTGGGCCCTGGCATCTCCTCTTTCAAATGCGAGGATTTGGAATCAATGACCTCTGTCAGTCCATTGTATGGTTTGGCTTCAGGGTCCAAAGGGTCCCTGTTTAAAAACAAAAAGATAAGAAACTCTGCTTAATGTTTAGCATACAAAGGACTACATTTCAAGATAAAAATATGCATTAAAAAGTAAAAATAGGGACTAGCAGTTGGCGTCATGGCTATGTCGCTGGACTCCCACGTAGTCAACCACAGTTCACGTCCCAGACCCGGTGGCTTAAACTCACTTCAGGTGCGTGTGCGTGGGTGCCTAAGATCCCAAGAGGAAAATGGAGGAGAAGGGATTGCAACGTAGCCATCCACCCTGGAGGGGGATTTCTCACTTTCTCTCTCTCTCTGTCTCTCTGTCTTTCTGGTAAGCACACGTGCCCTATAGCAAAAACCTCTCAAAAAGAAAAAAGTAAAAGTAAAAGTAAAAATAAAAATGTCCCACAAGCGTACGCCAAAAAGAAAAAAGTAAAAGTAAAAGTAAAAATGACCCACAAGCGTACGCGCTGGAAATGACCATTTTTAACTTTTTTAAAGTACGCCCTTTCTGTCCATTTCTACACATATAGATGAAATCGAGCTGCTCCTGTGGGGAGCCTACTGTTCTCTCCTGACCATTTACTGTGGGCGTATTTCGCGATCATTTTGACTGCGTACGCAGCGTTGCGCTACCTAGGTGACCCACAGTTTACCTGATTACCTCACCCTGGCCGTTGCTAGGTTCCTCCCTGTGCGGGTTCTCCCGGAGAGCAGGGGGAGCAGTTCTGTGTCACGGTGGCGGGCGAAGCCTGCAGTCCGGCTGCCTCAGTTTCCCTGTCAGATTACCACCCAGGTGAGCAAAATACGAAGTTCGGAAAGGTCTTTATCAGCTCCAAAAATCAGGGAAAAGGCACCCGTTGCCTTGTGATCTAGAAATTTCTGTAAGATGCAGTGTAGTTGGGATTGGCTGAAGGGAGAAGCCAGTGGACTCATGAAAGGGAATTGTGGGAAACGCCGTAATTAGAGGGGGACTAATGAGCTGAAGACTGTGTGGACGGAGGGGAGGGCAGACAGGCCTCCAGCAGTCGGAGGGAGCCACACCTCCGCCTTCCTGAGGCCTCTACGGTGGTGGAGATCAAAGCTTCCACCCCGCTTGGGCTGTGGACCGAGTCTCAGAAAGAACCGGGGCCAGCGTTGCCTCCCGCCGAGGACGGTAGGTGCCAACACATCGCAGGGTCCAACACATCACAGTGTCTGGCTGCCAGCTCAGCGGGACACGGCCCCCTCAGCCCAGCAGGGGCGCTCCCTGCCCTGGTTACCACGGCATCCAAACCACCCGTCTGCATCAGAACTTCCTCCACTTTGCAGAGAAATCGTGTCTCATCCAGCGAGCAGAGGCAAGCACATCGGACAGGCTTTTCCTTCTTTCAAACCAGCCTGAAACATGTGCCCAGACACAGCCTCGCTGAGAAATGTATGTGAACATGTAATATCATACATCCATACACATACTCCCCTAGAGATGACAAAACAGAAAGAAAACCAACAAGCAAACTAGAAGGGGGCAGGTTCGGTGTGCAGAGTCAGAGCGAATGTTCTCCTTTGGAATGAGTGTTTGTGGTGAGAATTCCCCAGTGTACCCCCTCTAGGCCCTGCCCGAGGACATCGCTGCAACTGAGAGCCAGTCATTCAAAGTGGGGAAAGGAGGGTGTTTAACAGAGTGGGGTGTGTATGTCGTAGTCAATGCTACAGAGATCCATGGCCGTGAATTAGGAAAACCCATGAGTTTTCCCAAAATTCAAACGTCAGGACTTTCAGATGAAGGGGCGCCATAAACACTAGATTGAAATGTCTCAGGAAACTCATGCTTGAGTGTGATCTGTTGTATTTTCTTCTTTTATTGGGGGGGGGGAGGTTTTTGCTATAGAGCAGGGCGCTTGCGCTCCCCAGGAAGACAAGAGGGACAGAAAGCGAGAAATAACCCCCCGGGGGGATGACCACGCCGCAGTCCCTTCTCCATTCTCCTCTCTCGGGATCTTGGGCACGCACACACACGCTCCTGGCGTGAGTTTAAGCCACCGGGTCCAGGACGCAAACCGCGCTCAACTACGTGGGAGTCCAGCGACCTAGCCATTACGTTATCTGCTGGTGCTTTTTTTTTTTTTTTTTTTTTTTTTTTTTTTGGCATGCAGGTATTCATCAGAGAGAGATGGGGTGGAGAAGGAAGAGGGACAGAGTGCCCCCAATAGGGAATGGCCACACCACAATCCTTTCTCCTCCATCTCTCCCTCCTTTCGGGATTGTGGACATACATAGCCAACATGCTTTTGGGCCACTGGGTCTCAAACTGCATGGTCGGCCATGCGGGATCAGGCTCCTTGACTGCTGGGCCACAGGACCAGCCCTTAGCTCTTCAGATGTTCCCATCTCTTGAAAAGGCCTTGCCTTCGGTGGCTGTGGCTGAGCCCCGGAGTAAGAGATCCACAGCTCGATGCTGCCAGTGTGGGGAGGCCCTGGGAGAAGTGAGCACATGGAGGTGAGGGCCAGGAGATGGCGTGCAGATGGGCCTCCCAGCATGTGCCCTCCTGTGCTCACGCTCATCCCTGCACCTGCTCTCGGGAAGCTTCCGCCGTGGTCTGCAGGGCCAGGGCCCTCGCCTGTGACTCCTAATGTGGTTTTCCTAGCGGAGAAGAAGATGATGAGCTCGGCCTCCGCGGCGGGAAGCCAGCAGATCTACTCCCAAGGAAGCCCGTTCCCTCCCGGACACTCGGGGAAGGCCTTCAGGTAGGTGCCTGGAGAGGGCCAGGGAGGAAGACGCCTCTTCTCCAGGGAAGCCCCGGGCCCCAGCAGGGCTCTGTGTGGGGCACACGGCCGTCTACCGCCCCGCAGACCCTGGCTGGGCTGCAGATTCCACTTGAGGGTTCTTGGCCACAAGTCCTCTGTGGGCTGCCGTGGTGCGGTTGCTCTTTCCTGGATGTGGACAACATCCGCCATGGTGCTCCAGTGGCAGCTGCTGGGGAGAAGGGAGTGAGCTAGTCTCTAGCCGGGACCCAGATGGGGTGGAGCTAGGGACAGCTGGTGAGGTAACAGGAAGGACTGTCCCCTGGTTCCCAGCAGCCATGTCTGCGTCAAAGGGAGAGTGAATAACTTAGCCCATCATGTTTGGGCCACCACCTAAGAGGCCACTCGGGGGCCCATACAGGCAGGGCGTCTGGCCTTCCCAGAGCTCAGTTCTCAGCATCTGAGACCATCTTCCCGAGTACACCGAGGAAGCCCCAGCTTCATCACTGGAGCTGCAGGAGTACACACTGGGCAGACCGGCTGCAGGAGGGAGCTGCGGGTGGGTGCCCTGGGAGAGGCAGAGCAGACCCTGTGCCCGCAGGATGGGCTCCTCCCACGGCCCAGCCTCCACGAACTTGGCCAGGCCAGAGCTGAGCTTCCAGGGGCAGGCGAGGACCAGGACTGGGCAGACAGGGACTGTCCAGTCACCAGGGGACGTGGCACTTGCTCCTGCAGAGAGAGGCAGCAGGTGGCCCAAGGTGGCAGAGATTGCAGTGACCCTGGCCAGTCCTGCAGCTGGGCCTCGCTGGACTGCGGTGTTCTGGGGAGCTCTGACCACAGGCAGCTACTCTGATCTGGAGGCAGCAGGAGAAGACAGCAGCCCCCGAATGCCATGCCCTTCTGTAGCACGCCATCGAAGCCTCCAGGCCTCTGCGGTGCTGCCGCGTCACTCAGCCCCTTGGTGCGTGTTGACCAATCGCGGGCTGTGCCAGGCTCTGTGCCAGCCCTGCCAGGCACTCACGTTCACCAAGTCTGCGCAGCACTGGCTGGACAGGGATCAGGGAGAGAACAGTGGCAGAGGAGGAGGAAGCTGAGCCCAAGGGCAAGGGGTCAGCCCAGGATGGCGGGGCCGGGGAAGGCCTGGGTGATCCCTCCGCTTAGCCTGGTAACAAAAGTCAGGTCCTGCCTCCTGACAAGTGACGTGTGCACAGGCATCGGGGACGTCCTGAGCAGAGCCCGGGAGGTGGGAGTGAAGAGGGGTCTCTGTGTGGGGGAGAAATGAGATGAGTCTGCAGGGTCCTGGGAGTTTGAACCTCATCACTGGTGGCTTTTAGGGGAGTGGCTTGAGGTGCCGTGGTGTGTGTGGTGGAGTGGGGAGGGAGCTGCAGGGGGTGCTCAGGACGGGCCGTGCAGCTGGGGCGCGGCTGGGGCCGGCCCAGACATGACAAGGCAGCG